AGCACTTTGGGAGACTGACATGGGAGGATCACATGAACCCAGGAGTTTGAGACCAGTCTGGGCAACATAGCAAGAACTATTTCAAATAAAAAATAAAATTTAAAACTGCATAACATAAAATAAATGTGAGTTATATAAGCTATGTAAGAGACAGTAATTCTCAGATTATTTCAAAAAGTAAAACTAAACCCCACTGGATTATTATCCTTTATCTTTTTTTTTCTTTATTTTAAAGATGTGAGTTACAATTCAGGGTTAAGTATACAAATGTTCATTATGCAGTTACCCTTGTTGATGAGGTGTGCCCCTCTCTTCCCTGGCAGTTTCCCTCAACTGCCAATCCCATCCCCTCTCTGCCGACAGTTTCCCATACTGCCAATCCCTTACTTGTAGTATTATGATAATCGTTCAAGGTCCACTTATGAGTGAGAACATATGGTGTATCCTTCATCTTTCTTAAGTTTTGTTTAACTTTGATATAATGGATAACATGTTGTCTCCTAGGTTATAAGATATAAATGTGTCTTTATCCTCCTCTGGGTTGTCTACCACCAAAACTAATTGTTCCGTTTCTCCATCCTGTTTTTAAAATTCCATTTCCACTAAGAAACTTTCCAGCTTGAGAAGATGCTGCTTGGTTGATTTTTACTTGAGAAGTTTTCTGTGATCCATGAAAATAAAAGGTGTTTAACAAAAGAAGTATCTTCATGTTATTACTCCTTACTAGCCTTACAAAGTGGCTATTCTTTTAAAATCGTTTGAGACAAATATCTGAAAGAAAATGTTATGTGAGATAAGTAATAAGCAGTATTTGAACACAGGTATGTGTTAAAAGATGCCATTAAAACTAAAAATAATTCTAGAAGGGAAATAAAGCATATAAAACTGCTTAATTAGGTTTCTGGAAGAAAAATAAAAATGGAAAGACTAGATTCTGTTTCTAAAAAACCAAACAGAACTAAAGGTATATCCTGTTACCCAGGACTTACTACTTCACTAGTGATAAATCTGGTGTATTGATCTCTATGTCTGACTCTGTCAATCAGTTTCCATCTAGGGGTGTGTTATTTGTTGAACCTCTAAACCCCTAACAAATTTCAGCTACAAATTATATATATGACATGCTAAGTCTCATTTTCATTTAACAAGTTTGTATTGAGCCCCTACCAAGAGCCAAGTACCTTATAATTATGCAAGTATGTTATTCTAAGTATCAGGATTATAAATGGTGAACAAATTGAAACATGCATCCTTACTCTCAGGGAGCTTACATTTATGAAATGTTTTATCAAACCCAAAATAACACACATGACAGTTACTGCTGTGCAAGGATTTTAAAGGGAAAGTTTAATATATTGTGGGATCAGACAATGAGGTGAGTTGAAGAGGAACCTAAGCTAGTTTGAGGGATCATAGAGAAATGACATGTAAAGGATAAATGGGAATTTCTTGGTAGAGAAAATCGCATGTGCAAGGGTACTGGGCAGGAAGTTGTTTGGTATATTAAAAACCATCAAGTTGTCTGTTATGTTTATTTATCTATGATTTGCATAAAATATTTAAAATCGAAATCAAAGTTCAGCATACCTTCTGTGAAGAATCAGAGAGTAAACACTTTAGACTTCGTGGGCCATACAGTGTCTATTGTAACTTCTCATCTTTGCCATTAGAGCAGGAAAGAAGCCATAGGCAATATGTAAATGAATGGGCATGGTTGTGTTCTAATAAAACTTTATTTACAAAAGCAGGTGGTAGGAAAGTAGCCCTAGGTTATAGTATGCCAATACCTGTTGTAAATTGTATAAGACCTTTCAAAAGTTGAGTTTTTAAAGTGTTTTATTTCTTTATTGAGACATGGTCTCACTATGCTGTTCAGGTTGGTCTCAAACTCTTGTGTTCAAGCAGGCCTCTCACTTTGGCTTCCCAAAGTCCTGGGATTACAGGCATGAGTCACCATGCCTGGCCTAAAGCTCAGTTATTAACCCTGGTTACATAAAGATAGGTATTCTGATCATGACATATTTGTTGGAAATCTATTGTCTTAGTGCATTTGTGTTGCAATAAAAGAATAATTGAGGTTGGGTAATTTATAAAGAAAGAGATTTATTTAGCTTGTGATTCTGCAAGCTGTTTAAGAAGCATGGTGCTACCATCAGTTTCTGGTGTATTTTTCCAAGGGAAATAAAAATGTATGCCCAAACTAGACCTTGTGAATAAATGTCATTGCTGCTTTATTTGCAATCATCCAAACCGGAAACACTCAAAATTCAGAAGCAGTTGACTTGATTAAAAACTTTAAAGTCTATCATATAAGGAATACTGCCCAGGAATAAAAATGAATAAAACATTGATACATACAACAACATGGGTGGATCAAAACATAATGATTCTGAGTGAAAGAAGACAGATGAAAGGTACATACTGTGGAATTATATGTACATGCAATTCTTAAAAATGCAAACAAATCTGTAGTGACAGAAAGATCAATGGAAAAGAGGGGTAGTAGGGAGAGGCAGGGGGAAGGACTTACAAAGGTACATGAGGAAATTTGGGAAAGTGATGTGTATGTTCAGTATCTTGTAATGATGACATCACAGATATATATTCTTATATAGTATACATAATATATACGATCTTATATATAATATATATTCTCATATATTGGATATATTCTTACTTCCAGTAGATGCAAGAATATCCAGTCTTACATATATTTATATAAATATAATATAAATATTCATATCTAAATATAATATAATATATAATATAAATATTTTAATAAATATAATTTATAAAGAAATAGACTTATTGAGCTCATGGTTCTATTACATATAAGTATAATTTTATAATAGAATATATAATATAAATAAATATATTCTTACTTATACCAGATATATTCTTACATATGTTGGATATATATATATTGGATACATACATATCCTATATATGTAAGAATATATTCAATTAAGTATTTTACAGATTCGTAGCTTTGTATGCTTCAATGGTGTCTGAACAAAGCTGTTAAAATAAATAATTAAATAAACAAACGACTTTGAAACAAAGGAGAAAAATCAGCTAGGGGGAGGAAAAAGAGCTAGGGGGAGACGCTAGGTTGAGTGACAATGGGTTTTGTTTGTTTTTTTGGAGGTTGTGATTTTGTTTTGTTTCTTTCATGAAACAAACCCAAGCAAACTTATACAACAAAGGAGAGTATACAAAACTCTAGGAAAGAATGGAGGCAACTGATGGAACTGAGTCCTGAGAGAGACAGAATATTCAGAGCCCAAGGCCAGTGGATGCAACTTGGACCGAAGAGAATAGAGAAAAGGATGTAAAATACACGCCGGACACATCATTCCCTGTTTTTTATTCTCCAAATGCTGAACCCCGAGGATACATTCTTATTCTTGGGTTCCAATGACATTCATCTTAAGCACCATCTCCACAGTGCTCCCCACTCAAGAGAGGTACGCCTCCTCAGAGGTAATTTCTCCCAAATTCGGTCATCCCTTCTAATTCCAGGTTGTAATTGATGGGAATCTGTGATACTCTCTAAAAGTAAGATTATTTTATTGAAAAGTGGGCTATGCTTTTCCTCGTATCAAGAAGGGGCTCTAAGTTAGAAGATAAGTTTTGCGCTTTTACCAAAGACTGTTTAGCACCAGCACCCTTGAGCATCTCAGAGCCCTGATATTTGTGCCCCTGGCATGTGTTTGCGTCATACAGAAAGAGAAGCAGTCACCAAATGAAAGGGATGTTGGTCTTTGAAATCAAAATTTGATTACACACACACACACACACACATACACACACACACACACACACACACACACACACACAGGATAGCGTGCTACACAGTGTTTGATATTTAATTCAGCGCTGTCAGAACAGCATGAAAACAAAGTGTCAGTTTAACAGAATCACTTGTCATTTTAGCATTAAAATAACTTAACTCTTCAATTTCACAGGGTGCCACCTTTTTTTTTTTTTTTTTAAAGGAAAGATTCAGACTTCCAGGAGCATTCATTCAGAAAACTGTAAGACCTCAATCCACTGCATGAAATCCTATGAGAGTAAGTGTCTGTATCTTTCATATACATCCAACAGGTTCAACGCGATGAGCAAATTAATGTTGATCATTTTTAGCCTGTTTCGTTTTAAATCAGAACCCACATTCTCAATCAACGTGTACTGAACGTACTGGGGACTATACGTACTTGGTTAGCAGATAAGGACCAAATTGCTGCTCGTGTAACTACCGCCACTTTGGACCAATGGTGCGTCTATGTGTATTTACTGCGATTGAGAGGGTCTCCAGAAGCTGGAAACCTGACTCCTTTCCAAGGAGACGGGGAAATGGGTTTACCGCGTTTCGCCTTGGGGGAATCTTGCGTCGCCACACTCAGGTCGCGACCGAGCCAGGTTCGCTGCGTCTCGGAGAGTCCTCGAGGAGGAGGAAAGGGACCAAAGCCGGGAAGCGGGTCTTCAGCTTCTCCAGGGACGGATCTGGGACCCCCCTAGCTGGGGACGTCGGGCAGCCGCCTCCGACTTGCTTTAAGTGCATGAAAAGCCTGTGCGCCCAGTTGCCTCTCTCCGAAAGCGCGCAGTTGTGCCGGGGATACGGCGCGGGTCCCGGAGCTGCCCCATCACATCGTGGATTCAGATAGCCCCCTGCTCCGGCGCCTAACAGGTTGGTAGTCCCGGTGGCAGGCGACCAAGATGGTCTGGGCTGCGCAGGTCTCTGGCAGGACTAGACGGGGCGTGAAGAAAAGTGGGGTCCGGGCACCGCCAGGGCAGGCGCCTGGGCTTTGACGCCCCCGCAGGGCCTTGGGGGGCGAGAGTTGGGTGTGGGTGGCTCCCTAAGCCAACTCGTGCGGATGCGGCTCCAGCCTACTCCCCCCGCCACTTGTGGAGGAGGGAGCGGGAAGTGGCGGGTGGGAGTCACCCGAGCGTGATTGCCCGAGGCCCCTCCTGCCGCGGAGAGGGAACGCCATAAAAGCCCAGTTGCGACCCGCTCTCTGCACCCCGTCCGCCGGCTCTCACCCCTCGGAGAGGCGCGCCCGACCGCAGAGTATCAGCCGCCCGGCCACGCCTGCCTGCCCGCCAGCCAGCCACCGTGAGTGCCACGACCCGTCTGCCCAGGGGCGGGAGCGAAGGAGGGCGCCCGTGAACTTGCCCGGGGCGCGGCCTTTCCCTCTGCGGGGGAGACTCTGCGCGAGTCGCGCCCGGCTCCCCAGTCTCGGCGCGCCGGACTCTGCGGGTGCCGCGCCCCGACGCGCGCCGGCCGCTCCTGGCGCCTAGTTCCACTCGCCCCTTCTGGTCCCCTGTGATCGTCCGCCCGTCCCCTTCTCCAGGGCCCTCCGGCCGGCGGCCCCTCTTGGTAATCTCTTGGCGGATATGAAGGGAGAACACGGGACCCCTAGCCCAGGGCAGCTGGCAATCTCTTCGGGGTGGCCGCCAGGAGGCCCCGGGAGCCGAGTGCGATGGGGGAGGGTTCCCGGGCAGCGCCTCTGAGTGAGGAATCTGTGGTGCTCCGGGACCCCGCGCCAGCCTCCTCCCCGCCTCCTTGGGCTCCTCCAAACGGAGAGGGATGACCCCGGGGCACCATTCCCTTTCCCTCTCCGCATCGCGGTTGTCACTTCGAGGTAACCTCTGTCATCACGGTTGAGCCCCTGAAGCCAGGCAGATCAGAGGTAACAGAGAAGAAAGTTTTCTTCTCTGATGAGGGTTAGGGGAAGACGGGAGGAAACCCAGCGGGAGGAACTTCTAATTCTGTTTTTAAAATGTCTAAGCTGGCAGGGCTCCCACTCTGTGCCTCGAGTCGCGCGAATCTTGGTTCCCGCGACTTGGAATGAAGTTGCGAGAAGTTTTCGGGTGGAGCAGAGGGGCCGGGCCAGGGCGGATGGCGCCCCGAGCCCGCAAGGTGGTGCTAGCCAAACTCCGGTTCTTTCTGTGGGATCAGGACGGGGACCGACGGGGGGTCGCGGATTGCACGGGAGGGGCGCGGGAGGCCTGGGGGTGGGGAAGGTGCGGGGCGTGTGTCTTCTGAATTCTGGAGCCCTGTCCATTGCCCGCTCTGTGCCCGCAGATGCTAGGTAGCAAGCGACTGGGGCTGTCCGGACTGACCCTCGCCCTCTCCCTGCTCGTGTGCCTGGGTGCGCTGGCCGAGGCGTACCCCTCCAAGCCGGACAACCCGGGCGAGGACGCGCCAGCCGAGGACATGGCCAGATACTACTCGGCGCTGCGACACTACATCAACCTCATTACCAGGCAGAGGTGGGTGGGTTCCCCGGGACCGACTCCCAGAGCGCTGTGCCTACACACTTGTTGGAGATCCTGGGGGTCTCAAGGGGCAGGGTCGGTTCTTTCTTTTCACTCTATTCCGGGGCAGGATAGCATCGGGCACATACTCAGCTCTTGGTAAATGTGCAGGACAGCCTACACAAACTGGGCGCTTTCCCTCTACAGCTAGTCACAACGTTGTTGTCTCCAGATTGAGGACCCCAGGCTGGGAGGCTGGCCATCCCCTCCCAGGCACTTGGGTTTGTTTGGGGTGTGAGTGTGTGTGTGTGTGTGTGTGTGTGTGTGTGTGTGTGTGTGTGTTTACTGTTATTGTTCTCAGAGTAGTTGGAGGCCTATCTAGGAACCTCGATGGGAAAGTGTCCGGTGAAAGGGGCAGGAGTGCTTCAGGGAAATGCTGTGGGGAGAAGGTTAAGCAGGGTGTCTAGGAAAAACAGAACCACCACCAACAGGAACAGTTGGGTTGCCACAGACAGTGCCAGCCTTTCCAACCTGCAGTGGGCCAACTGAATGACCGTATTTAGGAAAAGACAAATAGAACTATTTTGTGTTCTTCTGTGCAGTGTTTTTTTTGCACCCAGTACCATACTTGAAAATCCCAGTCCCAACAATTAGAGATTTAACATGAAAACAGTTTATCTAAAATGCAGAGACTTCTGTCCATGTTATAACTGGTGAATTCTGAAAAGATAGTGCTCACTTTGTCCTTTATTAAGAAGAATCTTACATGGGTTCAGCAACTCTAGGATGGATCCAAGGAATCTGAGAAATTGTAAACTTTATTCTGAACCTTCAGAAGGTAGAAATGAAATGCTCTCTCAACGTTTGAATATTGAGCAAAAAATCAAATTCAAACTATTTTGCAAATAATATAGGATTTAAAATTTGTTTTCAAAATTGCTTGATCTTAACTCTAAATCATTTAGTATCTTGTTTTAATTACTGAGATCAAATGGCCTTAGTGAGCTATAAAGGATGAGTCCCTTTAGAAACACTAATTTCTTTTTTTTAAGCAAGATTTATTGAGAGGACAGAAAAGCTCCCACAGTGGGAGGGAACCTGAGGGGGTTGCCCAGAAGCATTAATTTTTTAAAACATATTTAAATTATATGTTGTAAAGTATTGGGTTTTGTTTTTTAAGGCATATTTTTACTGTCTACAAGTCAGGGAATAGTTGAAAAGATTCTAAAAGGAGGGGAATTTTTACTTCTCAAATAAAGTTGCCCTTTCTTCTGTCTCATCAAAAAGGTTTATAACATCCTAAAAAGCTCTTGAAAAAAGTCTCAGTTTATATAAAATCAGAGCGACATGAAAATGCCAGAATTAGATAGTATTGGTTTGTGATCCCTTGAAATGTGAATGAGCAAACGTAATGATACTTTATATCCCAATAGACTTTTCAGACAATTAATTGCTTCTGTTCTATTATACAGACCAAAGAAAGCTTGTTCAGACAAAAAGATGTCAATTACTTTTTCCTACTTTTGCTAGTATTTAGTTAATCATAGCAAAATATACAGTAGAACTCATTTTTACAAAGATGATTGCTCTAACACTTTATCATTGTTCAATGCTTTAGTATTTCAAAATGTTTTCCTAGACCTTCTGTCATTCAGTTTTTACCTCAAAGGTTTGCAGTGAGTAGAATTACCTCTATTATACAGATTATGAAACTAAGGACATTTCATGGAAGCTTTTTTCAGGGACTGTTGAATTGAATCCCTCTGACTGATTTTCCTTGGGTGTCATCACCGCCCTTACCCTCCAGTACCTTTGATAAGAAAACACAAATAAAGGAAAGGGTTTTGAGCTTTATGGCAAAAGATTCAGCTTAGATGGAAACAAACTGGTCTCCGAGGCAGAGTTTTCCGTCTTCTCTTCACATAAATGCCTTCTTAGACACCGTCATCATCTCATCACTCACACCCACCTTTTCCATTCTTCACTCACTGCCTGCCGCAGATACTCATTCATATGTGCGTGTGTTTCTGACAATTACAAGATCATTTGTGAATGTGTCTTAACTTAGTATAAGTGATAATCTGATATCCTTCTCTTTCTTCCCTTTTTCTGCTCAGTTTGTGTGTGTGTGTGTGTGTGTTTTAATTTTTAAGATGTGGGGTACAATTCAGGGTTCGGTATACAAATGTTCATCATGCGTCTACCCTTGTTAATGAGGTGTGCCCCCCTTCCCTAGCAGTTTCCCACTACTGCCAATGCTTTTCTTATAGTATTATGATAATTGATCAAGGTCTGCTTATGAGAGAGAACATGTGGTACTCAGTTCTTTGTTTCTGTGATAGATCACTCAGGATTATAGACTCTAAGTCCATCCAAGTTGCTACAGAGTTCATAGTTTTGCCCTTCTTTATGGCTGTGTAATATTTGTGTTTTTAAAGTACATTCCTCTTGCTGTATATACTCTTGGTTTGCTGCTCTTGAAAGCTGCATTGTTTATTCTAGAGTGTAGGTCTATTACAGAATGGTTAGATAACCCCTTAGGTCAGTAGTTCTCAGCTGGGGGTAATTTTATACTCCACAGGATGTTTGGCAATGTCCGAAGACACATTTTGGTCTTCCCAACTGGAGGCAGGCACAACTAGCATCTAGTGTAACGAGGATAGGGAGGTTGCTAAACATTCGACCATGCCCAGGACAGCCCCCACAACAAAGAATATCCGGTCCAAATGTCAGCGGTGCCAAGGTTGAGAAACTCAGCGCTAGATGAGTGTTTTCTCCATCTCAGCTGAACATTAGAATTATTACCTGGGGAGCTTTTAAAATACAGGCTTGCTGGGCTCCACCCCCCTGACTAATTAAATCAGACCCTAGGGGTGGCAACTGGGCTTGACAGTGTTTTTTAAAGTTTCCCAGGTGATTCTAGTGTGCAGCCAGGTTTGAGAATCTTTTCCCTAGAGCTCAGTCTTTGAAAGTTAAAGCATTGCAGAGAAGGATAATCCAAAATGAGTTTAAGAAGGAAGAAGCCTGGACAGTGCTGTCCTGAGTGCTAGTTTATGTCTGTGCAAATCCTGCTGTTCCTGATTTTGGCTCTTTACTAGGAAACTGGAGGAAATACTTGGCATTCTTTGACTCACTTGAGCATGGTGAAGACAGATGAGTTTAAAGTTACCCAAGAGTTTTAAGATTAGTGAAGTCAACTGATGGACAGAATAAATAAGTATAAGCCACAGTCTATACTCTATTATCAAAACTCAAGAAAGTCTTTGAGGAAATCTTACAAATTGTTGGCAGTGGTGTGGGGCAGAGGGATGGTTGTTTTCGTTTTTCTTCTCTTGAGTCTTAGCAAAAGAACAGTCATAGGAAATCTTTCCAAAAATTTAGATTGAATTATGCATGATAGGTAGAGTACACCCTCTGTCAACTTTTCTCTGCTGTTGTGCCTATTAGTTAATCAATCCACACCAGGCTAATTTTTTATTTGTAGACAAAGTGGCTGTTGGTGTCCAATGCCTTTTCAGAGAAAGGGGAAAATGGCCTTTTCCAAAAATGCAATTTGGTGTAAACTTGTCCACCCCTTTTGCAGTGCCCTGAAGCAGGTAGCATATATTATCCTGCAGGTAAACATAACCTTCCATTCATATATTCTCATATCCATATCCTACTATAGGAGAAAAAAAACCCAAGAATATTTCCATGGACCAGTAGGGTTCCTTTATGCTTACAGGGAGGTTAAAATCACAGCATCAGGAAGGTTTTGGCTTTTGGTAATTCAAATAAATATGGAAAATATAAGACCTGGGATCTCCTGGTAGCTGCAGGAATGGATACATTTCAACATCAGAATTTGCATTTATATCTTTGTCACCTTCAAAGTATTGTGACTCATGTTCCACATTGGCTTTTCACAAAGACTCTGATTTAAGCAGAGGTCATGACTTTACTTTTACAAATGAGAAAACCAAGATTCAAAGACACAGGTGGGTCTTAAACAGCAGTTTGTTTTACACCCCCCTCCCCCCCCCCCCCCCCGCCTTGGGCTATTTCAGAAATATCATCTGGTCTCCTTGTTAAGATTTAAAATACTGTGTATCATCAGAACTATAGACAATTAACTAGTTAGGGAAACCTTTAAAAGCATACTTTGATGTTTTAAAATTTCCTGTCACCTAGTTATAAAAGTATATCTATATATGTATTATTTGTGGTAGTATAAAAAGGCAAGCATTGACTAGGAGTTTTGCTTGGGCTTAATTAGTCTGCTAAATCATTTATTAAATATTTCAGCAAAATTTAAAAATATTTATAATTTGAAATCACATTTAAAATAATGTTTCTGATAATCCATGTTCATATATCTAAGCTGCTTGTTAGCAGTTAGATGAACAACTAAAAATAACTTAGGGTTCATATTCCACATAGGAGAGTATCTTCTTTTTCTCCTAAAGGTTTTTATGCCAATTCCAAGTCTGAGTTAAAAGATTGTTCTTTCTTTCTTTCCTTCTTTTTTTTCCAGATACGGAAAGCGATCTAGCCCTGAGACACTGATTTCAGACCTCTTGATGAGAGAAAGCACAGAAAATGTCCCCAGAACTAGGTATGGCAAGGTTTGTAATGGGGACATTGTTGCAAGGTGCCCCGAGGAGGGAAGTCAGAGACAGCTGCCTGGTAGAAGGCAGTAGGACTGGGTTTCTATGGAGAACCAGGCAGAGAAGACCTTTTCACTTACTCATTGGAAAACCCTTAAACTTTTGAGGGGTAACATTTTCTAGCCCAGATTATTGGGCATTTCCTTGAAAATTTTTAATATAAGTGACCTTAAACTCTATATGGAATTTCTAACATTGTTCGAATTGGGAGAGCAGAGAATAATTTCCTACCTCTAAAATGACCACTGTCAATCTTTGACAGGGATAATGTTAAGTTTTAGTAAACTATGTGGAGTATCAGGATGTATTAGAAAATGTTCTGCGTGGTTTCTACTCCAACTTTCTTGGTTTTACATGAAACTGTAGGTGAATTGGGTGCTCCGGATTACTTTTAGACGTATTCTAGTACAAAATGTGTCACTTAGTAATTCACTCCATTCAGTGAATGAATGTTGAATGACAGTATCCTTAGGAGCTTAGCAGTAGCTTCAGGACTTTTTTGGAGTGTGGGTCTGTCTTGGGAAGAGATGCCCACTAATACCTAAGTGTTAGACACTGGGCTAGGATTCTCTGGTGCCTCCTAGACAAGGAGTACTGCTGAAGAGAAGCCTGGTCCTCTTCCGTTTTCATAAACCCTGGCTCTTCCATCCTTGCTTCCTTCATCTACCCACAGTAAGATCGAAACACACATGGTCCACCCACCCTTGTCTGTGACAGCTTGGCTGCCTTAAACCCAAAGCTCTACATCGTCAAGAACGAAGTTCCCCAGAAGAGGTCACTAGAACACTTGCTCAGGAAGTGTGACTGGTGACTCACTCCATGGAAGTTCTTCCCAGAGACCCGCTGGGCCACCCACCTTCCCTCTCACCCTTCCTCCGTTCTCTTGTGAAGTGGCCAGTCCAGTGAGAGGTGCAAGTATACAGTTGTCAGATATGTTTTCTCTGAGGGAAACAACGATTTGAACTGGAATAAAACTCCAGTGCCTTTGTCTCTGAAGGAGCCAGCCCAACTAAAACAACAAATGTGAGGGAAGCAGGTGGAACATTCTTAAACGTTGTCTTTAATGCTAAGCAATAAATGCCTTTTCATGTTTCATTGACATGTATATATGATGTTTGCCACAGTAGAAAGTTTAGGGTAGGCTGAATCTACTTAGTGTTAGAAAAATAACAATCCAGACCATACTTAGAACCTTACTGCTGGTCTTTGTTTTGTGACCCAAAGTCACACAGCTAGTGCATGAAGTAAAGTTAATTGTACCCTGACAGACTTCATCATGTGCAGTTAGAAGGAGACAAAACTTGACAGCCTTGAAGTTGCCTTTGAGTGCTAGTTTACTAAAAAAGACTCGTTATAGTCTAATAAATAGCATCTTACTACATAAAAGGGCTGGCAGGAAAACAAAAGAAGCATATTTAGAGTTGAGTAACAATAACTTTCTTGTTAAAGTTTCATGTGATTTCTGTAATTTTGATCTTCAAAAGATTGCAGAGTTCTTAGGCTCCTTTGATACATACAGAGCCTTTAAAATGCTCCCCGGGGATTTGCCTGAGACTCCCGGCAGCATTACGGAAACCCACTCAGCAGGGTCTGTGCATTGTGCTCCTGCCTCACGTTCAGATGTTCTGCTTGGCCTTCTATTTAGAATGCCAGCAGGAGGATTTTCAACACTTTCTGATTATCTTTCAGCTCAGACCTGAATGTCTCCCTCTTGCAAGTGTCCCAGGTAGCTGGGCGTCTTCTCTTACATGCTTTGCTTCTTATATTTTACAGGCTTGAAGACCCTTCCATGTGGTGATGGGAGATGCAAGTTTCTCACCTGTCTTTTCCTATTTTCAGCCCATATTTCATCCTGTAAAACTAGAGTCCACCCGCCCTACCAATGCATGCAGCCATTGTGCTGAATTCTGCTGTGTTTTCCTTTGTCATCATTGTATATATGTGTGTTTAAATAAAGTACCATGCATTCAAACGTGTATCCTCCTCAATGAAAAATCTGTTTTTATAATAATGAGAATTGCTTTCAGTCATTCAAATTACAGTCTCCATCAAGTAGCAGATTTAGGGTTTGTTCCACCAATATTAAAGAGCAGTGGCTATGAAAGATATAAATATATCATTATTTATGGTGATCAAGACTCGGGTGTGTGTGTGTGTGTGTGTGTGTGTGTGTGTGTGTGTGTGTAATAAATAAAAGCATTTGGAGATATTGATCAAGGGAATACTAATTTGGGAATATTTTCTCGACTTTCCTCCCCATTCACATGAAATCCTTGCTAACCTTGTTAACCATGCTGTTAGCAGAAGAGCTTGCTGTCTAATAGAACTTTCTGTGAAATGTCCTTTATTTCTCTCTTTAATATGGCAACCCTAACCACACGTGGCTTTTGAGCCCTTGAATGTGACTAGTGCAGATAAGGAACTGAGTTTTACATTTTATTTAATTTTAATGAATTTAATTTCAATAGCCACATGTCTTTGGCAGCTACCATATCAGACAGCAAAGGTCTATGCGTCTATTTAGGCCACTACTCTTAGAATTTAAACTGGAAATACACCAAGCAGGATGACTACCTTTTCACACAACAGGAGGCATGTTACTTAATTTAGCTAAAGGTATTAAACTTCCCTCTTCTTTAAGTACCCATTTGCATGGTCTTAGCTTAAAATTAATGTTATTAGAGTCTTGCATGCAATTTCTAAATCAAAGAAAATGAGTTTTATCCCATACCAGTACTTTATTTTAATTTTATTTCAATAGGGGGCACAAATAGTTTTTGGTTACATGGTAGCATTGTACAGTGACAGAGAAGTCTGGCTTTTAGGTGTGACCACCACTCCCACCTGTACACATTGTACCCAGTAGGTGATTTGTCTGTGTGTGTCTCTTCACCCCTTCCCACCCTCCCCCTTCTGAGTCTCTAGTGTTCATTATCCCATTCTCTATGCCTTTACAGGTCCTTAGTTTCGCTTCCACTTATAAGTGAGAACATGCAGTGTTTGATTTTCTGTTCCTGAGTTAGTTCACTTAGAATGATGTTCTCTAATTCCATTCAAATTGCTGCAAAAGACATTTAATTCTTTTGATAGCTGAATAGTATTCCAGGGCCATATTGATACTATATACCACACTGTAAAAATATGCACAAATATTTTTATGTGACATTTTAAAACTGCTTATAAAAAACCCCCATGCATAACAATATATATGCATTATGATTTAGGGAACCTTATAGTATATACAATATTTCTCTGTATATAAAGAATTCTTTTTTTCAACCAATGAAGTCAGTGTTGCTGCAAAATATGCTTTTCTTTAATGAAACTATGATAAAATTGTTCTGTGATTTCCCTAAAATTCCCCTTATGTTTATGTCTTTGTTCTTTGAACTAAATATTGATATGTAAAGTGTTTTTTTAAAATCTTAGAAGGTTGAATGCCACAATTTATTAGCATATGACATCAAAGCTCTTTATTAACCTAGTATATTTGAAAATTTTCCTAGCTTAAGTTAATAATATGCAAAGAAAGTTGACTCGGTCATCTGACAGCTTAGATATGTCGAATATTCATCACCATGTATACAGTTGCACATAAATTTATACAAAATATTTTGGTCAGTGACTGACCTCACATACAATAGTGGTCTCATAAGATTATAGTACCATATTTCTACTGTCCCTTTTCTATGTTTAGATATACAAATCCTTGTGTATCTATGTTTAGATACACAAATCCTTGTGTTACAATTGCCTACAGTATTCAGTACAGGACATGCTGTACAGGTTTGTCACCTACGAGCGATAGGCTAGACCATATAGCCCAGGTGGGTAGTATGCTGTACCATCTAAGTTTGTGTAAATACACTATGGTGTGGGCACAAGAATGAAATCACCTAATGACACATTTCTCAGGAAGTATCCCTGTCATTAATTGACATGTGACTGTAGAGCTCTTGGTTGCACAGAGAACAAATAGAAATAATACATATGAACCAATGAGAGATAATCCAGGAGTTCTGTTTTAACAGAAATTCCAACATATTATCCACCAAAGAAGGCCTAATATTAAACAGCCTACATTTTATTTATACTACATCCAAGCCTTGATCCTTTTGCTTCTTCATCTCATCTTACTAGAAAGAGGACTGAACCTTTAGACCATGAATCTCCAGGCTCCTGAGTTGGTGACTTTCTAGCTCTCAAACCTTCAAATTTACTAAACTTCTGAGTTCTCATCCACAAAATGGGGATAATAATTCCTGCCTAACTTTTGATGTATGACTGTACCAGAATCAAAATTCAAGTTAAGATAATGTTACAAGTAAATAACAGAAGGTGGTTAAAAAATGAAGTTTTTGATGATTCCTATGATGATTTATAAATCCCTAATAAATCAGAATTAGTTTTAAAAAACACAATATTGGAAAACTTAAAAAATTGTAAACTGCATTCCAAGAGATTCTCTGTAGTAATATTTCTCAAATATGTTCAGATTAGAATAGGAATAAGTTTAAATAGGTTTAAAGGCACTGAATATCCCATTGTCATTGCGAAAAAAAAAAATGATCCCTAGACTTATAGTCAAAACAATTCGGCCTTCATCAGTTAAATGCCTAAATAATGAGCAATGTCATTATTACCAAGTAAATCTATCAGCATTTAAGATTTCCTCTCACTCTATTCCATGATCTATAATGTATAAATTGTGCATACGTTTTCTGCAGATGTCATTGTGTTTTTATTTTGATTCTTACAATGCCTGAGACACAGTCAAGCAGATGTTTATTTCCTCACTTTTAACAGATAAGGAAACTGAGACCTACAGAAAGTAAGTAACTTACCCCACCTCATTCAAGTTTGTGGGACAAGATAGCAGTTCCTCCACTTGAAAACGTTGCCCTACCTGATGATGTCTTTCAGAAGTGAATTGAGACCAGGTTGTTATATGAGCTAGCTAAGAACATAACTCTGGTACACTTACAACAAATTTAGAGAATAACAAAGTACTAAACAAATTATACCAGAGGTATTTAGAAAAGGAAATGGGTGTGGGCAGAACTAGTTGGAAAAGGCTTACTAGAGAATGTGAATGTTGAGCTGGGATTGAGGAGATGATGGGGAAGGCGACTTGCTGGGCTAAACTGTATGTATCAGCTACAGCTGGCTCAGTGGCTCAGCCTTTAATCCCAGCACTTTGGGGGAGCCGAGACGAGTGGATTGCCTGAGTCCGTGAGTTCGAGACTGACCCGGGCAACTTGGCAAGACCTTGTCTCTACAACAGATAAAAAAAATTAGCTGAGAGTGGTAGTGCGTGCCTGTAGTTCCGACTACTTGGAAGGCTGAGGCAGAAGGATCATCAGAATCCAGCAGGTCATCGCCGGAGTGGCCATGAGTGTGCCACGGCACTCCAACCTGGGTGACAGAATGAGACTCCAACTCAAAAAACAAACAAACACAAACAAACAAAAACCACACAAAACAGCTACAGCTTGTGCAAGCAATATTGAAGGCTCTCTCTGTAAGGAACAGAGGGAGAGAGGCCAGAGGCTGGGTTGATGAAGTAGGTCAAAGGATGGTCAAACCCTTCATTCACTTCACATTTTTTTGGAGCATTTAATATGTACTGGACATTGTAATAAGCACTAGGGATACAAAGATGAAAAATAGTTTCTCAGGGAATTTACCTCTAGTGAAAAAGACAGATAATTTCAGTGCATTGTTGAAAGTGCCAACGTGGAAATGTTAGAGGTTTGAGATGTAGTTGGATGCTAGAACCTTCCACTCATCATGCATCCCTTTGCAGTTTCCTGACAAGGGAACTATGCATACAAGAGTCAATTGCCAAGTAAAGAATAAAGAACCAGGCAGACAAGCATCCTCTGAGGCAGGGCCACCTGGTAAACTGAGCCAGGGCACCAGGCTGCAGACCAAGTCTCTAGAGCATCCCTGCTTCCAAATATTATCTCTGCATCCTGATAGATAGTGATAGGAAAAGTGAGGTATCTGAAGCAGATTTCCAAATCCACCTACCCTAACAGTCACATAGACAGGAAGAGCCAACCTGCCACACCTAGCCGATGGGAGAAGAGCTGCTTGAGAGTGCACACATTACCTTTTGACAGTGCAATATGGTCTAATGGAGGGGTCCCCTGTCCCTGGACTGCAGACTGGTACTGGTCTGTGACCTGTTAGGAACCCAGACTAACAGTAGGGGGTGAGGGTGAGAGTTGGGCTAGCAGAGCTCCATGTTTTATCAGATTAGTGGTGGCATTAGATTCTCATAGGAACACAAACTCTATTGTGAACCGCACATGTGAGGGATCTAAGTTGCGTACTCCTTATCTTTTTTTTTTTTGAGTTGGAGTTTCACTCTGTTGCCCTCGACCTGCTGGGCTCCAGCGATCCTTCTGCCTCAGCCTTCCAAGTAGCTGGAACTACAGGCGTGTGCTACCACGCCCGGCTAATTTTTTGATTTATTGTAGAGATGAGGTCTCACCAAGTTGCCCAGGTGGGTCTCAAACCCGTGGGCTCAGGCAATCCACTCACCTCAGCCTCCCAAGGCGCGGGATTACAGGCTGAGCCACCGAGCCCCGCTTCCTTATGAGAATCTTATGCCTGATGATCCCCATTCCCCTTCCCGGTCTATGGAAAAATTGCCTTCCATGAGACTGGTCCCTGATGCCAAAAAGGCTGGAGATTGCTGCTCTAATGAATCAGTCAGAATAGCAGTCCCCTTCCATGCAGAGGGAGATAGGAAAAAGAGAATCAAGCAAGAGGCCAAAGCTAAAACTTGGACATCCTACCAGTCCTTGAAATTTAGTATGTCCAAAACTGGCATTCCTATTTCAGGGGCAGAGATGTCTTCTCTCAACCAGAAGTGATTTTGTTGGGGCAGGGATGGGTACCTGCCTCAGGCTGTAGAGAGTGCAGGAGGCATGAAAGACTTCCTAGAGCAGCCAATTGATGCTTGAGG